AGCGTCGTTTATCCGAATCAATTGGGGACTGGGGTTGTTCGGATAACTTATTTTTCGGATAACCGATTATGTACGAAAAAATATATTAATTTATCCCGTGTTGAAAATTTTCTCCGTTGCGTGTCGCTTCGCGTTGAATTTTCGTCGATGTTAAGCCTAACGAAGACTATTGTATCGTTAATAATTATTTTTTTATTTTGTACTAACAAAATAAATATATTGAAAAATATAAAACAATAAAAAATTATACTTCAGAAGTTAATTTAGTATCAAAAATGTAAAATATTTGAGTAGCCCAAGACATGGCCAAAGATTGAAGCGCCACAGCACTGGCGAAAATTTAAATTTGTCGACTGGAATTCCTTCGGATAACCGACGTTTCGGATAACCAACCTTCGGATAAACGACGCTCTACTGTACTAGTCTATTAATTTAAATTTTCTATATTATAATAGAGGAAACGGAGAAAAAATGGAAGGTACTGTACAAAGGGATAGATATATGAGAGAACAAAATTAATAAAATGTAGCACTGTTAGTGGCAGTAGCGTTTCCTATTCGGCCAGAATTTTTACGTATGTGTGTTCCGGCATAAAAGCGTAAAACAGAAACTAAACTGAAAGCTGATTTCTGATTTAGTTTTCTGCCACACAATTTTATGCATGTGTGTTCCTGGCCTAAAGCTCGCCAAAGACACGAAAAGCGTAAATCTCACATCGATTCTTTCGTAAAATTGAAGCAATTTGGAAATCAAAATAGAATAGAATTTAACATTAGTAAACAATATAAAATTAATATTGAAAATTATAACAAGATAGTTACGGCTAATAGATATCTATTAATTTAGATATAATACAGTATATTACATGTTTTTTATCAAAGCAAAAATTGGCATTTAGAGGGCATAGGGAATCTATTGAATCTAATAACAGAGGTAATTATATTGAACTTGTTTATTTAAGTACGTCAGATAAATAATCTATTAAAATACATTTAGAGAAGTCTACGGTTTTTACTGGCTTAGCCAATAAAATTCAAAATGATCTCGTTAATTCGTTAGGAAACGTTTTATTGCAAGAAATTAAAAAAGAAATTGAAAACTCAAAATTTGTTGCTATAATTGTGGATGAAACAACGGACATTAGCCACAAAGCTCAGATGTCGACTGTATTTCGTTACGTGAAAGAAAACAGTAACGCCGAAGAAAGATTTGTGGGCTTTATTGATGTGAGTGAGAACAGAGACGCACATTAGTTATTTACTCACGTTAAGAGTTACTTAGATGAATTTCAATGTACTAAAAATTAGTGGCACAAACATACGACGGTGCTGCCGTAATGGCCGGACAACATAATGGTGTCCAAGCCAAAATTAAAGAAATATCCAAACATGCTATTTTCGTACACTGTTATGCTCACAGATTGAACCTAGTTTTCTCTCAATCTGTTGGATATATAAAAAAATCTAAAATATTTTTTCAAACTATGACAGGATTTTCTTCATTTTTTTCTAAATCTTCTAAAAGATCTCATGCCTTAGACCTAGAAGTCAAAAAACGTTTTCCTTCAGCCACACCTATTAGATGGAATTACAATAGCAGGATTGTAAACTGCGTTATGGAGTATAAACAAGAATTAAAACTTTTGTTGTTGAATATGGTTGAAAGTCAAGAACAATGGGATTCTGATACTGCAATTTCTGCAAGAGGATTATACCATTATTTAATAGATTTTGATTTCCACTTTTTATTACTAGTTTTTCATCAAATATTTGCACAATCAGATATCCTTTTTGATATATTACAAAAAGAAATTTTTAATATAGAATATTGTATTACTAAAATAAATCAGTTTATTGACTTTTTACGACAGAAAAGAAATGATTTTGATTTGATTTGGGATGCTTTGAAAAAAGATGAAAATTTTTTACAAATTCAACCAAAAAGACGAATGAGACATACTGATATTGAGTCTGAAAAGGAGTTATATAAACGTCTGTTTTATGAAATAATGGATACATTGATACAAAATTGTACTGACAGATTTTCAGACATAAAATCTTTACAGTTTTGTATCACTTTTAGATGTTAAAAATTTTAAATATTATGAAAAACAATTTTCCGAAGAGTTTTAATTCTTTACGTAAATTTTATGGAGAATTTTTTGATTTATCTAAATTACGTAGCGAATTGCAATATTTATATTCGTGTCCGGACTATATTGGCAAGTTACTCTTAGACATAAAAAATATTATGATTAATGACGACCTAAACAAAGATGTACTAAAAGAATTATATGATTTAATATCATTAATTTTTACGATACTATTTACGAGTGCATCTGTTGAGCGCAGTTTTTCAACCATGAAGCGAATTCATACACTCGCAAGGAACACTCAGTCCGAGGAAAGATTGTCGTCACTAGCCTTGCTTTCGATAGAAAAAGAACTTTTAAATACGTTGATGAAATCAAGGACAAGTGACTTATGATAAATTAACGACTTTGCGGAAAAAATCGCCAAATAGTTAATTTATAGAAAATAAAAAAAACAAGTTTTTCTGTAATTATATTATGTCAATTTGTTTATTTTTGTCATTTCTAGTATTTGTTTAAAATTTTTTATAGAAATATGATGTTCCGGACAGGTCCGAACCGTCACGAAAGACGCGAAAAAACGGTTAATTTGGAGAAAAATTTATTAGTTTAAAAAGAGACAGGGAAATATCATTTGTAGTCGGACAGCCATTTGTTTATATCAAACTGCGACGCAGAAAACATAAATCGCTTAGGGAAGTCGTCCTATGATCGATGGAAGATGAATTCATTTTCGATTCTGACTTTTCTCGTGCTCCAGGTAGGAGTCCCGTTACGCTTAGAAATGAGGGACCAGCAACTCGGGAAGCATGATTGAGGAAGAATAACCAATCAAAACGAACGAAAGAAAGAACGGAGATTGATATCACCAACAATCGAGGACACCTGGCACTCGGTTTAGTTAATTAACGTTCCGAATAACCAAAACGCCGTGTATTAACGCGCAAAAAAAAAAAAAACAGTTTCTCGTCTATTTTGCCAAGCCGTAACCCTGCCACTTAGACTTAGACCGTGTCGCCGACTCCAACAGACGAAGTCTCTCCACCTGTCTTTCGGACTTGTCAACGCCACTGCCCCGAGGCCATCTTCGATAGACGATCAAAGAACCTCATCGACGACCGAACAGATGATTGTCGTAAAGCATACTATTTTGTACATAGTGTAAGTTTATTTTATGTTAAAATAAACGGTTTTTGTTAGATACTTGTCATCTTTCTCTCGTCCGCCACCACTCGCGTACGAATGGACCCTAGACCATCACTGACGCAATTAATTGATTGCCCCTGGAAGTCGGCTTGTTACAAAAACACAGCTTCCCTATCATCAAATGTCACAGCACGCCCCTGGTCTATGCCAATCTCCCAAACTGATGATTTCAATTTTCCTGAAAATTTCCCCAATATATTTCTCTGCAAACTTTCAGACATTTTTGACAAAGGACACAGTAGTTATTCAGCTTCAAAGTGGGATAACAAAATCATTATGCCCCCCACATAAACATCCATGTACACAGGAGAAACCAAAACTTTTTTTTGCAGTTCTCAACATTTCAAAGACCAGAGTCCAAAAATGTAAAAAATCTTGAAATGGTCATTTTTTTTACTGATCTCCATCTTTCTCCTGCTATATAAGAGGGAAAATGACACAATAATCTCTTTGCTTGTGTGTACAGTACATGTATAATATAATTATTTAATGAGCTTTAACTTTATTATTAACTTATATGTAAGTTTGCAGAATAGTGTTCTAAAGAGCATATAATGTCTGAGCATATACCACACTAAACATTCTTACCGAAATTCCTACTTTATTGTAGGTCGACACTTAAATGAAATGTTAACGGTGGTCAAGTGTATTCTGAATATAAAATAATTAGAACTGCGATTTCTTCACTCTATATCAAAACTTCTTTCTTTCTAACTCTAAACAGCAACTGTTTTGAAATATTTTTTTAATATATCAGATTATATTGTAATCCTGGTTAGAACTCTAGATAAATTTTTCTGAGTGTTGAAAGTAATTCATTTTTTTGAGTAAAGAAAATTGCTTTATTGCAAATGATAATTATCAATAAAAAAACTCCTCTATAAAAATAAATACAGTGAAATTCATTTTGTCTTTGTAAAGCATTAGACAGATGATGACAATCATTTTATTTTGCATTTAAGTTTTGACATTCGATATATCTTTTTATCTGTATGATTAAAAACAACCTATCATTCACTGTAATAAGATATACAGGATCAAAACAGCAAAGTGTGCATTTTCTTTCCTTAAATAAAAAAAAAAGGCAAAAGGAACAAAAAACAATCTGTATACTGTGTTTGATTTTGTCCAACTCATAAAAAATTGTATAAACAATTAGAATCGAGCAAATCGCGATGGTAAAAATGCTACCGAGCCACTGTCGGATGCTTTTTTTATGCACGACGCGGGCCGAGATATTCTATTTACTATTAAGAAATCTGTACAACAAGCTTGATGGCTTTCTGGGATGTTTAACTGTCCCAGCGACTCTTTTTCCGTTTCCCTGAACTTCCTCCGGTTGACCCGGACAAAGTCTTGGGAGGAATGGTTTCTTTGGGTTTTTGTCCTTTAGTCCAGGCAGTGTCTGTGGCTGCAGTAAACTGTGATCGATATTGAGCCTACACAAAGAAAAGCAAGTGAAAATTTCTCAAATAAAATGTTTTTCTTCAACAGAAATTAATTCGTTACAGAGTAAGATGATTTCAGTATTTCAGAACTGCAAAAGAGAGTAAATTACCTGGAATGCTGCTTTCATAGCAGATAGTCTGTCACTCTGGGGTCCTGTTGGTCTAGATATGGAAGCTGCTCCAAATATTGCTTTGTCAGCATTGCTGTTATTGGTCACCATAGTCTGTAATGTATTTATTTTTTAAAGTACAAACGGGCTGAATTTTTTTCTTATTTTAATATTACAGAATTATTTATTTAATATACTACTATTTTTTATTTACAAAAGTTATAGATTAAAATTTATTATGCAATCTATTATGCATTAGAAAAATAGTATAATAGGCAAATTGAGAATATCTATTGATTTTGAAGTTAGTTTAAATACAATCTGGATATTTTTGATTTCATAGATAGGATGTTGTATTATGAACAGATTTAAATGGCAATCTAAGTTCTCTTAAAAGGACAGAAGATTCTTTAAGCTCTGGAAATTTCTTCTTTCTATGTACAGGTACCTGGAGACCTAATCAGAGTTGTGTCATTAAGCTAATGAATACAATAAAAACCAGTTTCTATCAAAACTATGTAACTGGCTTTTAATTAACTGTGAAATTGCTATTCTGAGCCGTATGTTTCATTTTCAGTTCCAATAGCCACAAGCAATAACTAAGCTTTTCTTATTGATCATTCTCGAGCTCCATTAGGAATGTAATGAAAGTAAAAAGAACATGGCAACTTTAGGTATAAGGATGATATTACTTCACAAGCAATTGGAGAGAGAGAGAGAGAATTAGCATTGCACATTGTGAATCGTTTTTGTCTTCAAGATAATGCCTTCAGGCTAATTGATAATGCCTTTTGGCTTTAAAGGACTTTATCGTCTTCCAAAGCCATAATTCATTGCATAAATGTAATAGTAATGAGAAATGCTAGAGCCAGGGCCAGATTTACAAGTAAGCTATGGAAGCTGTAGCTTAGGACCTTGCGTTTCAAGAGCTCAAAAATTTATACAAAAAAGAAAACTGAAGTCAAATTTTGAAATATATTTTGTTAGTTTTGTAAAAAAAAATTATTTTACTTTTTATTTTGTGTAGTTTTAATTATATTAATAACCAATAATGTTTATGTTACATTTACATTTCTAGTGATTTCTTCTTTTTAATATAAAATTCATTTGATTTTTATAGGTAGCTTTTCTTAGCTTTTAATACTTTTGTGCAATCAAAAAGTGACAAAAACAAACTTTTTAAATTGAACCTTATTTTATAATATATTGCAAATACTTTTTTACAATAAAACATTTATTTCTAAAATTGTAAAGGGTTGATAAGAAGTATCAACCAGAGTTCAGCTTAGGGCCTCGAAATGCCTAAATCCAGCCCTGGCTAGAGCCAAAGTATTTTAACTAATATCTCGAAATGACAAGTTTAGTTCACTGGTTGTGTTGTTGTTCACTCTTTGATGACATTTTAAAACAAAAAAATTTGGCTAGCACTGGTACTTGACAATATTAAAAACACATGATTTTCTTTGAAAATGGCAGGTTGCAGTCACATGATAAAAATGTAGTGTTAACTGTTACACTTTAACCCAGGGGTGTCCAATCTTTTTGTTTCTCTGGGCCACATTGGAAGAGGTCTTGGAGTTTTGGGCCACATGTATTAATATATTATATATAGATTACTTGTAGCCCAATCCTTAAATATACTTGTATATTTAAGGATTAACATATCTAGATTATAGTAATAAGTATTAAAACTTTATCATGGAAAAGAATATTTTAAAAAATTACTTCTACAGACAATTTCAATTTATACTTAGAAATAGATAAATTCGTTTATTGTAAAGGAGACAAACAAAAATTTATTTGAAAAACACAAATATTTGTTTTATTTGAGTCTCTAATTAATAAAAAACGACGAAACACCATTTTAAAGTGCATTCTTATTTGCCTAATATATTTATAAATAATATGTAGCCCAAAAAGTAACCAATGCGTCAAATAATATTTTTTATGCCAAACTAAATAAAAGGGTTGCCAAATTTGGCGCAAAGTAGCCAAATCTTGCAACGCTGGAAAGAGTACTAAATAAAGCTGGAGTTGGGATTCAAAGGATTATAGACCGAAAGCAAGGAAAAGATACAAGAAAAAGAAGTGAGGAAAGTTGGAAAATTAATGGTCAATATTTGCATAACAGAAGGTATATTTAACCTTTCTCACTGCTTTTTATCTTTTAGCCTTTGTCCCCTTTCCCCAAATTTTAGTCTATACTCCTTTGAGTCACAACTTCAGCTTTATTTAATATACCTTCCTCATTCACACATTTCCAAGTATTTGAAAATGTTTCCTTTCCACTCAAAATTAAAATATGTATAAAGGTTTACTGCTTTGTGAAACGTCTTTTTTGAATTTGTGCCATTAAAATAAATAAATAAAATAAAAGAATCTGTTAGTTTTGTTTGCACGTTTATTGAGCCACATTGGAAGTTGCCTTGGGCCGCACGCGGCCCGCGGGTTGGACACCCCTGCTTTAACCCATCATAATTTAGTTATTGATAACATGGAACCCAGGTGCATCTCAACCGATTACCCGTAGTTAAACCCACTTAACATGGAGCAGAGAAGAGTGATTTGTCTAAGGTTCGTTAACTGTCTTTCACTAAGGAGACTTAACAAAAGCAATACATGGGACATTTGATGAGTTATCGGAAGAACTCATAATAGTTCCCCTAGAGACAAAATTGTTTTATCACTCATGTTAGAAGGTGAATTTGTATATCTAAACCAGTTAAACAACTTTTTCCTCTGATTTTGTCTTGAATGTGAATGGATTAAGGCAATTTCTGGCAATGTCATGTTTAGTTAAGTACTATGTTTTTCATAAAACTTGATATTTTTTTTGTTTGTATTTAAATTATATCATCAAAGTATGATATTGTTCATTCTCTTTTTTTGACAAAAAATTTAATCAAATAATAATTTTTCAAGTCAGAAAAAAATTTTGTCAAAATAACTCTAAATTAAATTCCTGAAATATTTTTTAATGATCACAAATTTGAGAAGGAGACTGACTTCTGTTTTATTACGTTAGCTTTCACCACAGCATTAGCCTTTACCTACATAACATCTGCTTTTGGAACAATGCCTATTACTATAGCAACAGTTTTCATTTCAAAGATGAATTGTTACATTAAAATTGAACAGAATCTAATTAGTGTTTTCTGTTAACTTTCATGAATTTTAGTTATAAGTAAATGTCATATTAGTGGTCTAAAATTTAGTAATTTTTTAATGTGTTTTAGTCTTTAAGATTAAATTTTGAATTAAAATAAAAGGTTTATAAACAGAATCAATTAAAAACAATTGTTTTTTAGGCATTACTGACTCTTCAATGCTTTGTTGTTTTTTTATTTTCTATTAAATCTAAATATTGCAGAATTTAACTAGATATTTTTTGTGTAATACATGGATTTAGGTTTCCTTGAAAAGATTAATATACTTATATGATTTGTGAGAGTTATAGTTTCTGGGATATAAATGATATCTAATCTAAATCTGTAAAACTTAATTGTAGATCATATATTTATAAATTTATTAACAAATTATTCTGCAAAAATGATTTTTTTAATAAATAGTGCTTTAGATATATGTAAAAATTATGAAAGGGCAATGTTAATTTTACAAGATAATACAAACCATTTCATCACACCCTAAACCAGGTCTCTCTCTGTATCCCAATCCTCTACCACCAACATTTATTTTCTTTCCTTTTCCTTGTTTGAAACGAGATTTTCTAAACCAAGAACTCTAAAAAAAAAAAAGAAGAAATTAAATTTTACAAATTAAGTTAAATAAAATTTTGTTGCTTTTATAACAGAATTCATGGTAATAATCCTTAGATAACTTACTTGCATAGCTAAATCCATCAATGCTTGAGGAACTACTTGATTAGCACCTTCCAGATTTCTCACAAGATGACCAGCAAATTCCTTGTCCTTGTCAGTAACCAATGTGTAAGCGATGCCTTTCTCCCCTAAACAGTGCCAAAGGAGCAGGAAAGGATTCTTTTAAATACCTCTTCCAATCTAAAGTTCCCTAAACAAGCAAAACTTCTCGTCATATTAATTTTTGTAAGTTTCAACCCAGGTATTTTAAAGGCACTAAATATAATATTTTTTTTAGAATTTTCATACATAGAAATAAAATTCTCTTCATTTTCCTTTTCCACCATATAAATTTCGAAATATTTTCAATCTTTTAAAAGAAATAATTAATTTTGTTTATTATCACTTGCCTGCACGTCCAGTTCTACCAATCCTATGAGTGTGTGTGTCAATATCTCTTGCAACATCATAGTTAATTACTGTCTTTATATGAATAATATCCAGACCACGAGCTATAATAATAAACAAGTTGTATTTAAAAAGTAACAACAACATAAAAATTAAAAAAAAACCCATAAAACCAACCTGCAACATCAGTGGCAACAAGAATAGGAACTTCTTTTCTTTTAAATGCAGTTATCACTTTATTTCTCTCTGCCTGATCCATGTCACCATGCAATAACATTACTGTAACCAAAATTTTAAAAATTCATAAACAAAATAATATAAAGTGTCTTACAATAAGTATATCATTGATAATATTAACTTTTTAAGATATAAATAATATCTATATACCATTAAATTCTTTATTCTTGAGATTAGTTGTCAATTCTTCTGAGTTTGCTTTCTTTGTAACAAATATTAAAACACTGCCAGCTGAATAAAAAATAAATTAAGTTTTTGATACATATTTTTATTACCATATATAAATATGTAAGGAATTATATAATAAGTAGTTACAGACTTTAATTTGCATTAAAGTTTTTGTTTGTAATGCTGTATTTACTCACATGTAAGATGCGATTTTTATTCATTTATCACAGCTTCAAATTCCTAGGTCATCCTATATGCGTGAGCGAAAGATTCTGTGTGTTTTTGCAAATAATTTTTGTGAACCGTTTATTCACATTTTTTACCAAATACTTACACTCGTGTATTTAAAAACATAAGTATTTTATTTGGGTCATTTGAATCGTTCTTGTATATTGTTGGGAGTAAAGATGAATAGTAATAGGAAAAGCAAAGCTTTTGAATTGAATTCCAGATTGAATTCTGATTTCCGAATAATCACCTGTTTTCACGTGGAAATGGATTAAAACTTATATCGTGCTTCCATGTGATTTTGGAATTTCAGAGAAACTCATAACAGTCAAATAAACTCTGTCAATTACACTTAAGAATTAGCAAAAAAAAGTGTTTCCGGTAGTCCAGCTTTACATGAACTAATTATGCTGTCGGTTTTACATGATTTTTCCTTAAAGTTTAAAATGCCAGTAATTTTTGCAGGACAATGTGTGCATTTATGTTGATTTGATATTTTACTTGTGATTTAACGAAATAGATTATTATTATTAATACAATTGTAATTTTAATTTTTTTTTATTTTGATCTTTAAAGTCATACTTTGTCCTTTGTCTTATATATGAGTAAATACAGTGATCTTATTCAAGCTGTTATTTTATCTAATTTAGAATATAAAAGTTAACAAAAAAAAAGTAATATAAACCTTAAGATATTTACAAATTTAAATTCAATTAAATTACTAATGAATAGAATCATGCCATTCTGTAAATTGAAAGTTTTTTAATGCAAAATATTTTTTAATTTTATAAAAATGTATTTATAAACATTTTTTATTATGAGCTGTGTCTATCTTTTAGTATTTATATTCTCTATGTTGTTTTTGAAACCGTGTTTTGCAAATATATTGTACTTCAAACTCACATTTGAGTTATAAACAAATACTTGGCTTTATTTTCATCATTTTTAGTTGATACGTGACAACATCATGTTTCGGGCATAAAACCCCTCATCAGTCAACTAAAAAAATACAATTTTTTTAATTGACATTGTTTAATAAATGACTGTAATATAGATAAAAATAATGTTAAAATCCTATACAAAGAGAAAAACATGTATAATAGAAAATTTAAAGAGTGTCTCAATTTTAACAGCCAAAAATTGTATCAACAAAAATTTAAGTGTAAAAATAAATAAGAACTGGATGAAAATATTATAATATACACAATATACATTAACGTTGATTGTAATTATCTATAAAACTTATGCTGTTATTAATAACAACTTTCTTTGTAATATGCAAATCAGTACAACACTGCAATGCAGTATGTAACGCAGGTACGGTTAAAAAACAATAATGTAAAAAATTGTCTATTTCTATTTTGAGATATGTATGTGATTATGTCTAAGACTCCTGGATACTGTCAAATATATAAAAGATAATTTATAACAAATTTTAATGAAATTACTCCACTTATTGTAAAATAAGTTGTGCGTGCCAATTAAGACCTTGTATGTATAACTGATTAAAATGGATATGGTAAGAAATATACATTATTTTAATTCTGTTTTGTAAGATATTTTATGTAATGTTTTTTAAAATTGTATTTTTTTTAGTTGACTGATGAGGGGCTTTATGCTCGAAATGTGATGTTGTCACGTATCAACTAAAAATGATGGAAATAAAGCCAAGTGTTTATTTATAACTCAAATGTGAGTTTGAAGTCCAACCATTTATATTCTCCTTAACTGATTTGTTATGTAGTTTCTGAAAATTATCAATTAGAAATAAAGTTCTGCAAGTAATGCTATACATAACATTTTCCTATATTTAATTTTACCTCAGATTTTTTATATATAAAATTATCTTTCTGTATACCTGAAGTAAATTCTACAAGTTTACTTGTCAGCCATGTCCATTTTGATGGTCCTGCAGGTAACACAAGGACATTCTGAGTGATATCCTCATTAGCTTCACCAAGTTCTCCTTGAATTACACGTATTGGATCTACTAACACATCTCTTGCCAATCTTTCTATTTTTTTTTTAAATGTTGCACTGAACATTAATGCTAAAAAAACAGAATTTAGTATATTGATTTATTTCTTGAATTGATGATTAAATTTACTACTCACTTTGTCTATCTGGTCTAACATGGTCACATATAGACCTAACTTGCGGTTCTGCAATTAAAAATTATTAGTACTTATCTTTATAACGTAAAAATAATGATATATTTGAATATAACTGTTTTGAATGATTACAAAACAATTTTAATAACTAAATAAATAATTTCACTTTCATAACATTTACATTAGGTAGTAACATTACCATCTAATGTAAATGTTATGAAAAATTGTGTTTAAAATATCATATTAATAAAATAATTTTGTAAGGAACCAAGTCCGAACATTATTTTTATTTACTTTTATTTTGCTTATTATTCTATTTTTGTTTGGGGCTTATGTTTTGTTAGGACGAAGGTTTCCTCACCATTCACCTTAGTAACTTAAAAAAATAGAAGAAAAACCAACTCACCGACGAAAGAAAAGCGCCGTAGAAAAACTCGCGCACACTTGCACTTCCCGAGCGGAAAAAAGTAAGTCCGCACCGAGAAAAAAGGGGGGGAAGACCCCACAACCCAGTTAGGAATCGCTAAACCTTAAAAGAATAAAGCATCCCGATAATTGTTAAAAAGAATAATGTAAAAGGTTAGCGAAGTATTGTCGGAAAATAATCTGCCAGATAAACAAGAAAAATTTAATGTTACAGATAAGTATGTAAATGAGGAGAGTGAGCTCAT